CCCCAAACACTGACATTTTTCACAGGGTAGGTGTGGTGGTTGAGGACTTGGACAGGGAGACACAGGCAAGATAACTGGGTGGGAAAACAACAGCAAACACTGACTGACTTTTTCTTTGGATGCTAATGCTCTTTGACCCTTCTCTGCCTGGGACTTTGGGTATCACTTTCTGGGCTTAGATCCTGGTGGTTGGGGCAGGGAGTGAGAAGCCCCACAGAAGTGAATCTGTTTCAGTATGTGCCCAAAATACACAGCTTGGCATCATCATGAAGGAATATGATTCATGTGAGAAAGGGGGACTTCCCATAAATGGAAGGGATTGGGCAATTGGAAATACACGAGTCCATGAGTTATTGGACTAACATTATTGAGCACTTGTGGTGTGGCAAGGAACGTCCATTTGATAATGGGAGCCACTATGCTATGTACCTTGTAGCTGTGATTTCATTTAATCCTCATGTGACTACATGTCAGCTATGGGAAGAACATTCAAAAACATCACTCCCATTGCAGTAGGCAGGGATCCATGGCAGCAAAGATCTCATATCATTTCTTACTTATTAAGGTTTCTGAGAAACCATTACATTTCATCCTTATTTTCAATACTTCGATGAACTGAATGGCTCTATTTCCCAATGTTGTGTTCATTCCCAGCTCTTACCTCATAACATGTACATTTTTATTATATTCATTTTGAATTAATATATGCTTATGAATGAAGGGCTCACTCTCACTATAGCTTGATTCTGAGAAACATAAGAAGAAAAAATGCATGAATTCAGCTTAATTTCTGATAATTGAACTACAGTGTCCATCAAAGGGCCATACAGAGGACGCTTTTCCCAAACCAAAGCAAGATGTGGCTGCTTGCTCCATTGCTCCTTTACTGCTAAGTATCAGAATGCAACAGGGGCCATTTTTATTGCTGCGGTCAGTAGTTCTAGAAAACAATACTTGCCCCTCCCGTGGCCCAGGAGAAAGTTGGCATTTGTAGAGCTAAAGGGGCTGAAGTGGGTCACCTTGGGATGTGAATCAAGTTGAAACAGATTTCCTAACTTTAAAATCATTGGACTTTCCTATTTGATTATTTGTTCTAAAACTAGATAATATAAAAAATAAATCTGCAAAAAGATGCTTAAAAGTTTGTTCTGGATCCCTCTTTCCCTCCTCTCTCTTAATCCACAACTCTCTCTATTAATGTTCTGTATGTCTTAGAGTAGAGGCCTCAAATTTCTGTCTTAATACTTGATTGCCCAAGGTGATTTCAAAATCTGAAAAGAATCTGCATTAGTCATTAGAAGAATCAATGTGGAAGGATATGCACATGTGGGGATACACCTTCCACTTGAGTTCTTTTCAATTAGACAGTGTTATTCTTAGTAAAATTGGCTGGATTAATTTTGAGCACTTTTCATTTTTGTTTTTGTCACCATGCCTACAGAATATACAGTCTCCCCACTGGACTCCTCCCTGTGTATTCTCCTCCTCAATTTTTGGCTTCCCTTCTGTTTATGTTAAGGCATCTGAGCTCATCACTGCACACTCTTCCTTCTCCAACTGCTGTTGGGTTCTTCGCTAGGCCCCTGACTGCAAGCTGGACAGTTACTCTGCAGGACTCTAAGTGAAGATGGTATCTCAACAGCAAAACTGATCTTCTCAGCCAGAACAAAAGGAGTATCTTTTATTCTTCTCAGCCAACAAGGGATATTTCTGAGAATTTATAGCCAAATATGAGATGACTATTAGGATGGATGGTCTAATACTATCTTCCATTTTAAAAAAATGTTCCCATTTGTGGTTCATTTTTCCTGTATAACACCATATATAACATCACAGTTTTCCTATTTCATGGGGAGCCCATTCTTTTTAAAAATATCTTTTATTGATTTTTCTACAGAGAGGAAGAGAGATACCCTGTTTCCCCGAAAATAAGACATCCTCCGAAAATAAGACCCAGCACATGAAAAGATAAGACATCCCCTGAAAATAAGACCTAGCGCAACTTTGGGAGAAAAAATTAATATAAGACACTGTCTTATTTTCGGGGAAACAGGATAGATAGACAGTTAGAAACATAGATCAGCCGCCTCCTGCACACCTCCTACTGGGGATGTGCCAGCAACCAAGGTACATGTCCTTGATCGAAATCGAACCTGGGACCTTTCAGTCCACAGGCCAACACTCTATCCACTGAGCCAAACCGGTTTCGGCAGGAGCCCATTCTTACAGACTGCAGTGGGAATGGCACTCCCTTAGAGCTTACAGTGCACAGCTCTCCACCGCCCATGCATGTGGCACTTACCACTCATTCCTACTTGTACCTTTCACAGAGGAGGAACCGAGGTATTTCGTACAGCTCGTTATTTGTCAAGTGTGTGTTCCAGTGCAGACCTCAATCTCATTATTATCCACATTTCATGCTCCTAGCACTTGATGGGGGATAAACTTTTATTTCACATATAAAATTATTTAAAATGTTTTGTTTGATAAAATTGTAAGGCCTATTCTAACCAACCCAGAAATCTTTACAATTTAAAAGCCATTGGGAGTTGAAGTAAAATAAAAAAATTTAAATACTTTTTTTCTTTATTGATTAAGGTATTACATATGTGTCCTTATCCCCGCCATTTCCCCTCCTACCCCCCCCCCCCCTCCAATCGTGCCCTCACCCCCCTGGAGTCTGTGTCCATTTGTTAGGCTTATATGCATGCATACAAGTCCTTTGGTTGATCTCTCTCCCTTACCCCCACTCTCCCCTACCTTCCCTCTGAGGTTTGATAGTCTGATTGATGCTTCTCTGTCTCTGGATCTGTTTTTGTTCATCGGTTTATGTTGTTCATTATATTCCACAAATGAGTGAGATTATGTGATATTTATCTTTCTCTGACTCCAAAACTTCTTGCATGAACAAATACTCTCATCGATGTTTTTAACTCTCTATCCCTCTCTCTTCCTCTCTGTAAAATAAATAAATAAATAAACAAACAAATAAATAAATAAATAAATAAAAATTAAAAAATAAATAAAATATATTAAAAAAACAACAACAAAAAACAAATGTTCTTAAGGAGTGGGGGTCTACCATGAAATACAGCTTTTATAAAAATCCTAAAAGACCCACATGATGTTTTACAGAGTATCCAACATTGGGCAAAACCTACTTTTTAGTTTCCGTTTATTAAACAGCATAAGATATACCTTTGAAGCCAGTTTGTTAAGAGAGGGGAACATAACCCCCTGTGCTAGGAAGGACACCAGACTGGGGAGTAGAAGGCTTCTCTCCCTAGAACTGACTGTTTTTGAGGTTCATTGCTTGACCCAGATATGTTTCTTTCTTTCTCTGGTCCTTGTTTTTTCAGGTTATAAGAAGAAATTAGACTAAATGATCCCTAAGGATCCTTATCATCTTCAATATTTTATAATTTTCCTGGAGTTGGGAAAAGATAAAGTCATATAATTGAAATTCTAGGAGGCTGAAAAGTGAAAGATGCCTAGTCTAAGATGTCTAGTTTTCAGCCTTGATGCCTGTATTTCCTTGTAATGGAATTATTTGGCTGTCCTACTTATAGCTAATATATATTATCTCCTTTCAACATACTAGCCAGAGCAGTGAAATGTCCAGATTCCATCTTACAGCCCATCCCATTTTCTAAATCTTGGAACTTCTCAGCCTTGAAGCAGCTTATTGGCTCTGAGCTGGGTATTTGTTCACTTGGTGTTTTCCATCACCTGGGATTCTCCTTCAGGACTCTATCCTGTGTTTATTGGCTCTCCCATCCTGTCCACTCAGCCTCCTCGCTGATTATTCACTTATCTGTCAGTATATTCAATACGAGGCCTGGTATTTCTAGATCCTTCTTAACAAGAGTGTGTTTATTTCTTCCTTCTTGCTTTCTCTCCTTGTTAGATTATCTTTGCCTCTCCTGTAGGTTTATCCCAGCAGCATTGCAGAGCCTTCATCATTGCAGTTTAAAATATTCCTGTTTGTGCCCTAACTGGTTTGGCTCAGTGGATAGGCCTGTGGACTGAAAGGTCCCAGGGTTCGATTCTGGTCAAGGGCATGTACCTTGGTTGCGGGTACATCCCCAGTACGAGGTGTGCAGGAAGCAGCTGGTCAATGTTTCTCTCCCATCAATGTTCCTAATTCTCTATCCCTCTCCCTTCCTCTTTGTAAAAACTCAAAAATATATATTTATTTATATATATATATATATATATATATATATATATATATATATATATATATATATATATTTATATATTCATTCCTGTTTCCCAGAACCTCCCTTTTTACTCAGGGTCTTAGTCTTAGATGTCATCTTCTAGGTGAAATCTCTTGGTGTCTGAAGCTTTCTCAAAACCTGGAATAATACATACCCCAGTGTGGTGGGCAGAGTTTCTAAAATGACCTCTTTCCCATAGTTACCCTGATCTAACTCTTTAAACATAGAATCTTCATGCTTGCGATTTTGTATTATGCTATATTGCCCTTAAAATAGGGAGATTACCCAGATGGGTTTGATAGCAGCACCTACATCCTTAAAATCAGAAGAAGTCAGAGAGATTGGAGGTGTGAGGACTGGATGGGCCATTGCTGGATGAAGATGGATGGAGGCACACGGGAAGCCAGAGGAAGCATGTGTGTGGCCACGGGAGCAGCAAGCAACCTTGGGCCACAGCCAATGAGGAAATGGGCCTTTTGTCCAACAACCACAAGGAACTAAATCTGGCCAATAACCTGAAAGATTTTGGAAGCAGATTCTTCCCCAGAGCCTGCATATGAGAGCCCCACCTGGCCCCAAATTGACTCCATCCTGTGGGACCCTAAGCAGAGAACCCCATACATTGCACCCAGATCCCTAACCTACTGAAACAGTGACATAATAAATGAGTGTGTTTTTAAGCTGGTAAGTGTGTGGTAATTTGTTACACAACATGGGAAAGCTAATATTCCCAGCTATGAGCTTTGTTGTGCTGATTTGTTGCTTTTGTTTTCCTAGCTCTGAATCGAGTACCTACAGAAGTGGAATCTTTGGTCTCATGGAGCAAAAGTCTTTTCAACCCACAAGAACTCCCAAATACTGATGGTAGGAGAAGCTTCTAATTGATCTGTTAAATAATTATTATTTAGAATTGCAATATTGCTTTATTTGAAGAGAACCTGGACAGCACAGAATTTTCCTACCCTGTTACCAGTAGCTCAAATATCCAAATTAGCAAGTTATGCCCTAAACTCACTCAGTGACATGGAGGGTAGTTATATGTGTGGGAAGAGGGTATGAATGCTGAGGGATCAAATACATGAAAACCTATTCTCTTTTAATTCCATCTAAAAAGAGAACAATTTGAAAAGGTAAAAAGAGATTAGACTGGAATGGAATCAGTCAAACTGTACATGAGTTGATGGATAAATTCTGAGAATATGATTCAAACTACTTATAAAATAGCTATTACCTTTAATGGTAATTATATTGGAGAGAAAAAATGATCTCGTTTAGGCAAACTCTAGCAATCATCCAATGTTATGTCTTTTTTTTATGCCTCACTACAAAGTGAAGGATAAACTAGGAAACTGAAAAGATAAATTACATTTTTACTCTGATCATTTGAATCTATGAATATTAAACACACATTAACAGAAGAATGAGACTACAGATAAAAGGAAGTTAACTGGAAGAGACTTCCACATTACAGTGCTCTGAAGCTTTGAAACTCTCAAAAGGGATTTGTCCTTCAAAATCAATAAAATTAGTTCACATACCTCTTTTTATGAATAAAGCTGGAAGTATTCAATCCTGGAAGTATCTTCAGTAACAAGAAGTTTAAAGATGTCAGAAATCAAGTCTTAAATTTACCATATTGTAGATTTTTACACAAGTGTTTTTATTTCTTTGGATCCATATTGGAATGGCATATCACTTGCATATCAAAGATTGCCATTAAGGAAACTTTTATGGAAATAAAAATATAATAATGTACCAATCTTGCAATATTTCTGGTTCATAAAAACAGTAGAAACCATCTATGAAACCAGGGATTTGAAAATCATTCCGATTGTGAGAAACAATAATGATTGTGTTCAGAAATTCCTCAAACTTCCCTGCCATTGGACAAAGTCAAGTTGTGACTGCTCCTAAAGTCAGCCTAAAATAAAGCTCTGGCTCGATGTCCCCAGGTGGGAGCCATGACAGTCCCAAGTTCATGGGCTGGATGTACAGTGATGGAGAGCCTAGGCGATCACTGATTGGGCTGGTGGTTCAGGGAGAGGATAAGAGGAGTACCTGGGACCTGAAATATGTATACACGTGACTAGGTGAGGTGGGGAGGTAGAAAGGGATAGAGTATTCCAGGTGGAGAAGACAGAGGGAATGTAGACAGCTCATGTGACTTCCTTCTGGGACGGCAATGTTGCTTACTATGATTAAAACAATACCTTACATTTTCATACATTTCCGAGTTAAAACGTTCATTTCGCTTCTTTTATGGTATCTTCAGAATAGCTTGTTGGAAAGACAAAGCAGGAATTGGTTCCCCAGTTCCAAAGATGAAGAAATCAAGACCCCGTGAGAAGGAAGTGGCTCTCCCACAGTTAATCACCATTGATGATGTGACAAAAGCTTCGGTCAGAAATGCTGCTGTAAGATGGTAAGTTCCTTTTACATACATTTTACAATTTGTTGCATTTTCTTATGTTAATTTAATTGAGGTTTTTAGATATCACTAGGAGCATCTCCATTTGGAAATAAGAAATATGACTGTCAGAGGGTTGACCTAATTAGTAACCTCTCTCCCTTCCTTTCACTCTCTTAAGAAGCAATGGAAAAAATAATCTCAGGTCAGAAATATATATATATCCTAGTGTACCCTTTACCTGAAATGATGAAAGGCCCATTAGGATGATATATTTAGCCCCAAATCATTCTTATCCTTTTTTGAGTTAGTCAGTCACTTGGGCAAATCAAGATAACTTAATAACTTAATTCTGGTCTATTGTAGGCTTCCTTCCCACATCCAACATTGGAAACTGGCTATGATTTTCATTCTGACAAAGGTCAAAGCATTATCACAGTTGTCCTGCATATATTTCAGTGGTCAAATAGCCACAGGCAACATTAGCTAATGGAACATTAAATATACATCTGGTTTATTGTGTCAAAAGAGAACTTCAGGGTATTTTTTTTTTATTATTTTTTTTTTTTTTAGGATTAGAGAAGATAAGAGCAATAAGAGAAAGCTTGAAAGATGATGGGGAAAAAGGGGGAGGGGAGGATGGGGAATGATGATTCCAGGAATATTGAGAAACTTGGAGGAATTCCCAGAATTTGTAGTGGGAACAAGGGAGGGAGACAAAGGGAAAATAACGGAGGTGATAAAGACGGACTCAAAGTGTAAGGAGGCCTTGAATGTCAAGACAGGAAGTTTGAAATTGATGATGGAGGTACGGAGGAGAGAGAGGAGACACAGGGAAGTGGGGAGTAATGCTGTCACGGCAGCCCTGGAGACCCGTCATGGGCATAGGGAGTCTGGGCTGGCTGGGGCTTTGGGGAAGAAAATATTGCAAAGGAAGGGATAATTTCCAACTGTTCTGCGCCTCACAGATATATAAATAAAGTACAATAAGGGCTATAATGAGGAAATAAATGTCATAAAAATGTTTGATAGCAGATGGGACATAGAAACATGAAGAGATGCCAGTAGCCTCCTGCCAAAAGCAATAAGGGAGATAGTTTGGTCTAGATGACTTCAAAGCTCAGCTCCAACCTTGTAGAGTCTGTAATTCTATGCTTTGGTTCAATTTATTGAATTTCAGTAGTATTTGTTTGCCAACTACCACCTATGTAGAAAACACTATTCAGGATACTATTGTGGAGGCTGGGGAGTGGGAAGGGGATATGAGAGTGAATATAATTTAGTTTCCTGCTCTGAAGAGGATTTGTCATACTGTGGAGAAGATCTTGCAAGCTGAAATGCATTCCAGAATGAGTAAGTGACTGTGGAGGATTATACATGCGATGGAAGCCCAGGAGGTAGCATAGGCAAACTTAAAGTCATTTTTGAAGGCGATGGTTTTAGGAATAGGCAAAGAAAGGCATAGGCAGAGAAAAGCTCATGTCTAAAAGGAGTGAGGAAAATGCTCTTGAAACGATAACCATGATAGGCAAAAATTTAAGGTAATTCTCAGGGAATCACACCCCTTATACTCCCTTCCCCTAATGAAGGTGGCACCTGTGACTTGCTTTTAGCCATTAGACTATGTGAGAGGTGGTTTGTACTACTCCCATGATTGGATTATGTCAGATGGCAAAGGTAAGGTGATAATTACGGCTGTGATTGTGTTCACTTATATGAGACTCCATCTTAGTGGACTGGAGAAAGATCCTCCTGCTGGCTTTAAAGAAATGATTTGTTATTTGTGAGAGTTCCACTTGGCAAGGAACTATGGGGCCTCTGGGAGCTTAGAGTATTCCCCAGCTGACAGCAAGCAAGAAAGCAGAACCTCTGTGTTATAGTCCAAGGGACTGCCTTCTACCAACAAGCCAGTGAGCTTGGAGAAAGATCCTAAACTCAGAAAGGAGATTAGCACAGAGAAAGCCTCGAATGTAGCTAAGGCATGTCTGGACTCCATACCAACAGAAACAGTGAGATAATAAAGGGATGGTTTTTTTTTTTTAAGCCACTCAGTTTGTGTTAATTTGTTACACAGTCATAGAAAACTAATACTGTAAGCTACCATGTCTGGCTGAAGCTCTGAGTGCGTATCGGGGATCAGTGGGAGATAAGACTAAAGATATTATTTGGGATGAGACAATTTAATCCAAATTAGAATCTGCATAATGAATAGTGCGTGGGCCAAGTTAGAACTCAATGAAATTCTAGTGGGTGATACAATATCTGGTGGGTGAGTAAGTGGAGGATTAAGTATACAGAGCCTATCCTATCTTTCTAGCACTTGCCTAGTGTGGTGGCTGCCAGTTTTCAGCCATTCTGATGATTTTCTATGGTGCTACTTCACTCCCTTTGAACTTACAAAAACCTAATCAAGTGCTATTAGAAGGCAGAAGGATAGCTTGACAGAACTTCCATGGAACTCTAGAAGTAGGAGGTGGATAGAACTCTTAACATTTCTCCTAATCCTCACTTTAATTTCATGGAGTCACACTAGTCAGAAGTACCTTTAAAATTATCAGTTTAAAAAATGAGAAAATGAAGATTGAAAAGGGGGAAAATAATTGTTCAAGCTCCCATAGATACTCCATGATAGACCAAATAGTACCTGTGCCTCTTCTGTCAGAGTATCTGAGGTATGACAAAGAAAAGAGGAAGGATTCATTGAAAGAGAGAAACTATTAGGAATAGTTTTGCCTTTTGAAATTATATGCAAACTTAATAATGGCCCAAGCATTGCCATAGCTACTTGTTGGTTATGAGTACAGTCATGTCTCTGCCATCTGTTTCTCTTGACTACTTCCACTCCCATTTGTGTGTTTAATATGTGTTTATTGCACAACTTTGTACCTTCGCCTTTAGAAAAGCACTAATAGCAACAGGCTCAAATTTCCTTCTGGGTTGGACTCTGTTAAAATTGCGAGATGCTGTCCCTCTTTCTCTAAATCTCCTTCCTTCTTTCTGGGCAAAGCTCCTATGGTCTTTCTCTCAATTTCAAGTAGATGATGGGGATAATAATGCTCTCATTACTTGAATTTTAACAGCTCTCCAAACCCAGAGATGTTCAGCTGAATCACTAGAGTGACAAATAGTTGAGATGGCAGTTGAGCAAATGATACAGTTCAGAGTCACCCCACATAGGCTCTCTGACTCTAAGACTGGGCCTGTTATTTGCCCTGACATTTTCCCATAGGGGTGGCAGGAAGAAGAGGAGGAGCATGGCAGTGGAAGAGAAACTGAGGCAGAGAAACACAGTAGTAGTATTGGGAGATGAGAAAAGAAAGGGAGCATATAATGGCAGGCCTAAGATTTTTCTCTGACTCAGAACATTAAGAGCAGTTTATCAAACCATGTGTGCACCCAGACATATTTTCCTGGATTGGAATGTTGTGGTCAGTACAGTCCCACAGCCACCCACCCATTAAACGGAGATTGATGGCTTGGACATTTGGGGGGAGGTCAGTGACTATCTCGAAGTGGAGTTAAGTCCCTGTAGCTGGGATGGCTGAGCCTCCTATTGTAGAGTCTGTCGAAGGCCTCATCTGATAGGCGGTGACAAATAGCCCCCTTCCAAGAGCACAATTGCCCCTGAGAAGCATTCCTGAGAAAGAGCATAAAACCACAATCAAATGACCACGCCGCTTCCCATGTTAAGTACACACTGAGTGGTTCATGTGTGGGCTTTGGCCAGAAGGCCAACTCTCCAGATAGACTATTGGACGGCTAGTGCCGCTAATGACTTTACTGGCCTTGACATGTGAGGAAGCAGGACATGTACCCATTAGAGTAAAATTTTTATTAGAATTGCCATTCCAGAGATTATTAGCAACTTGTAAAGAATGCAATTACCACTTAAGCTGTATTCAACGGAATACATTTTAACCGTAATTGAAAACAAATGTAGGCTTAACTGTATGGTTGGTTAAGCCCCATGATCATGACTGTTATCTTATTATTTTCCATTAATTAAAACAACATGTGCTGGGATTTATTTGCAGCTACGCAGTTGCAATTGGATGAAGGCTCAAAACAAGAGTTCTTATTTCACATTTGCTCCTCAGCACCACTCAGTGTGGCCACTTGGACGTTTGGTCACAGTGTTTTTGTATCCACTGAAATATAAGTTAAGATTTAGATGCACTTTTATTTCTATTCTTCTGAACTCATCCAACTCGTCCTTATTCTTATAGAATTGGGAGGCCATTGATGGTGGTGGCCACCTCAACCTTTTGACCTCAGTGACTTCCAGAAGTAATCAGTTTCCAGTTTCTGTTGACTATGAGAGGAACATTTAGGATTTGAGCTGCTGTGAATTTTGTATCTGTTTTTAACCACATGCAATTGTCAAGGGTCCCATGTTTTCTTTTACTTTTTTTTTTTATTTCCTTCAGCTTGGATGTTTTATCCCAATGTGCAAGGAAAATTTGATTTTAGGGCAATTTGCTGTAATTACATAACTTGTCTTCTGAGAGCACATTTCAAAGCTTCGATTTGAAAAATAAAAGGTCTGGCTCTAGTTCTCTAGTTTAATGTGATATCAGGAAATGACTTCATATCCCTGGACCTTAGTTTTGCCATCTGTAAAATTGGGATACCAGGCTTGATCTTATCTACCTATCAGGGATATTCCAAGACCATAGGAGATGATAGCAGTGGAAGGGATTTGGAATCTGAAATGAATATTCCAGAAGTCAGGATCATGATAACAAGAGTCTTATTCTCACACTGACCCATTAGGTTTGTCAACATTGAACACAGTAGTGACTCAACTCTCATCAGATGTTCAGTAAGTGTCTTCTAGAATGCAGCCGTGATTTCATGATGTATATCTTTGAATGGTCATGATGCTGCTTTTAGGACAGGCATCATGGGAAGGACATAGAGACAAATCTCAAGTCTCTGAGATGAAGAGCTGCTGGACTTCTTATAGGGTTCTTATTGTGACCAGCTCAGCATTTCTATTTAGGCATTGACATGTT